ACACACACACACACACACACACACACACACACACACCCACACACACAGACACACACCCACACACACAGACACAGACACAGACACAGACACACACACACATATATATATATATATATGTATATATATATAGGTTATGATTATATATACCATACCTAGTGGAGTGGTCGAAGGAACGAAAGTACCATATTTCGCTGATCATCAGTGATATCATAACCATAAATGTGAGCATGGTGACTGCATATAAAGTGACAAAGAACATGTGTTTGAGGGAACAAAACATATTGGCAGTCTTGAAAATTCCCGGGAATGGCGTTGTCCGGTACAATATTACATCAAGATAATAATAAAAGCGTAAAATCACATTCTATGTGAATGTTAAACAAAGTATATACCTGCACCACCACTGCTAGACGTCTCCTGTACATCGTCCATCTGTTTACCAAACACATCAAATCTTTGCAGTAAAGATTTTTCGGTGTTTGGATTCCTTCTCCTCGCATAGTGTTGTCCAGGGCCTTCTTCCATAGTGTATATTATATTGCTATGATTCAATCACTAAATGGTCTATCCAATACTGCTGTATATACTGTGGCACAACCTATACATCTATCTTATTGTAGTACTTGGATCTAGAGGTACATACTTCTACGTTATTTAATACGTAAAAGATTAGTATTACTTGCACTTCTGTACATGTATCGGTGTATACACATATACAATTACAATATAAATACATCTTGCGTGGGGCGACAAGAGAATCATCAAAATTCCAAATCAACTATCTATCCAATCTTGAATATCTAATTTTAGATTGTCATGGTAACAGTGTATTGATATCAGCAGACAGCTGAGACTACTGTTATACACAAACCTATTTATATCAACAATAGACTATTGTATGTAAGTACTTACAACATTTCAATTCTTCATAATCAGCTTCAGACAATTAGAGTTGAAAGCTCATGTCATTTCACGCTCGTTACCAACTGCTCTTGTTGGCAAAGTATTAGGGGGAACGTACTAGGAGGAATCACATTATATACACGCCTCAACTGCTGGGTGGTTCTCATAGGTGTCAACAGTACTTGCTTGTTATCATGATAGCATTCACGAGACGCTTATGACATGCGTCTTATTATGTATATGTCACGTATATGTTGTTATGGCTTCTAATATGTTGAATTGCATGATCTGGGATTGGTCTTCGAAATTCTACCACCCATGCTTCCAACTAGTTCGTGAACTATTTTAATGCAAAAGACATTCTGTTGGTTAGATATTAAACCATATATATGTCTTAGCGCTTTTGAAGTTTGGAAGGTGCTGAGTGGTTGCTAGAAAGAGTTGAAAAGCATGTTACGCGCCTAGTAGAGACTGCACGTCTTGATTCTTAGAATTCCGTACCAGTGTTCTGCTGTAAACGGAATGTATTCCTGTTCTATCGTTACGGATCCCAATGCCGAAGTGCAGTACCTGACAGCAAATGGCTATTTTTCTCCTTTGCTCTAATGCCCTCGATAGTTTTAGTGTTCAGTTCTACTACGTTTTCTCGCTCGATAGTTCTTGAACTGTATTCGGTATCATTTGTAAAGGGAATGCCGGCCTGTTCTAAACCATAGCGAAACCCAACGACTGAAGTACATAGCCATTCGTATCTGTACGCGTATCACGGTGCATGAGTGTAGTTCTCTCCTATTTTATTATGCTCCATGGTATATATAGTATTCAGCGGCATAACAGATTCATTTGCTATGTCGTGAGCTTGTATGGGGTCCCGGTTGCTTGTCTTGCGTTCCACAACAAGGTCAAACGCATTGATAAGAGAATCAAAATACATGAATGAGCCAGTGTGACCGGTAAACGTTATGGCAGTAAGTTTCTTCTCTCGACACATCATACCATTGTCTTCTTCACAAAAGAGAATGTTGACCTTAAAGAGTGTACCATAGGTTCACCGAGTTTCCCTCCAGTGCTGACATGGTAGTAGTCTTGATGTTTGCTGTTGTTTAACCAACCTTCTAGATGCGATATGCTTGCAACGACTTAGCAACGAGTCTCCACACTTGGTAACGAAAGCATCTGCAGAACAAAAGTACTACATTTCATAGTACATTAAACTGGAGTATACGCAATACTATAGGCGAGTGTAGATGTGCATGTCGACAATCCTGAGGCCTAAAGCTAGAAATGTCGGAATAACTACAACTGTCTATGCGTTTTAATGGGTTGTCTGTCGCCAATGTATTCAACACAGACAAAAATTTAAATAGGGCATTTTATGAGAACATTATTTCAGTTTGTGACACCCGTGCCAATGATGAAATTGACGAAGAGTGCTTTTTCTGATGTCCTGCACATATATTTGATTCGTTATGTACAAAACTCTTAGATTGGAACCGTCTGATTATTCTCAATATCCGGCCAAGCGGTAAAAAAATGGTACACACCCACCGTTACATTGTGGAAACACTTCTCTACCAATATACTAGTATCTATGTACTTGCTGGTGCTCTATCAATATACTAGTGTCTTTGTATTTGTTGGTGCTCTATCAATATACTAGTCTCTGTGTATTTACTGGTGCTTCCCGTTATACGAGTCTTGCATACCTCCGAGTGGGAAGGTCAACAGATTCGGGATCTTTTCAGATATCTGCAATACAATAGTCACAGTATTTCGAAAAGCCATAAATTATTTCAACTATTGACTCCCTCCACTTGCTCTCGAGAAGGGGAGTGTGATTCATCATTAAGTGCTGCATTCTGTCAGAGTTAATGATAACCAAGTTGATGTTTGCGCCACACACCACCCGCGGTATAAAGCCCGTCTTTACCGGCCATTAGGCACTGATTGTTAGGGGAGTGTGATTCATCATTAAGTGCTGCATTCTGTCAGAGTTAATGATAACCAAGTTGATGTTTGCGCCACACACCACCCGCGGTATAAAGCCCGTCTTTACCGGCCATTAGGCACTGATTGTTGGCGTGAAATAAAATCAATACACAGTACAAGATATGTCATGTGAATAAAAATGGCGAATTGAGAAGACTGGGTGAGTGAGCGAATCGAGATGATGACAAAATGAACTCGGCGCCAAGGTGAAGCTATATATATAAGTTTATGAACAACTAAAGATACGGTGTGCGGGAATATATCTATTACGAACAAATAAACAAGGCTATAAACGGGCCTAAAAAGATGGGTACAAATGGGCCTTCCATAAACTTACTTCATTAAAGGTCTGAAGTGTTTGTCCAACGTCTACCCTAGAAAGAGTCAAACTCGTCGATAGGTTTAGTCAACAGCGCAGCATCTAAAACGGGTCGCAGTCTGGTGTCTGCAAATGGATATTTGAAAGCACACATTTCGAATATATGAAGCCCGACTTTTGCTTTATTCACTTAGAATATTCATCTTATCACATATTTTACACAGCTTCTTGATATAGCACGGTACATTTGCGTCTCTCTTGAAACACTTGCCGCGGTTGTATTGTGCGGCTTAAAAGCATCCGCAAATAATTGGAGAAGTACTTCTCCAAATCGGAGCTGGGGCTGCCAGCGTGAGTCGACAATCGGAACGATCGCAAACATTGCCAAGAGACTAATCTCCCGCACACCGAAGGACTGAACACATGCACCTATACCACAATCTGACCCTTGGCAGCCACTACTCACCCAACCGTTGGCAATCACCACTCACCCTCGGGCAGTGGAGTGTATACTGAACGCATTCCATGCGTGGATGGCTCTGCAGTGCACCCAACGCTTGTCTCGAATATCTAATGAGTCTCACACAGCTGGCCTCAGTCGCCACCAATGTAGCGGAGGGCCTGAACAGCCTACGGCGGATAAGAAACCGGGTGACTGCCTCGCATAGATAGAGCGAATCACCATGACATCAGGTGCTGGTGCATGGTACATTGGCATACCTCCCATGCTGGTGCAGTATGACATACCAAGTACTTCTTTTGTACTGTTGCACTGTAAGTTATCAAGTAGTCCTGTCCTGGTGTTGTACTAGGGAGAGGGCCCTGTCAGTCCACCCATGTCCACCGAGTACCACGGTCTGCAGACAGTCGGGCCTGTGCAACATGGAACGATACGGAGCCAGGCATGCCCCTCCGACCACTTATCAGACATATTCGCAAGTAGCGACAGAAGCACAGATGTGTACGAATATACAGATGTAAGCACGCGCATCGTACGCATCGCTGGCACACTTGGAAGCCGAGTGTTCAGCCCTTTAACGGAGTGGATAAACGTGAACACGTCTTGCTCGAGAGGGCGTCGAGTTGCTCCTGCCACTCCCCGAGGGCGTCGTATTTGTCCGAGTCGACCTTAGACCTAGACAGAGGGGCAGGTACAATTGAGGAAAGCTAGGAAGGCGCTATACAGTAGAGAGGTTCAATCACGGTGTACACACACACACATATACACACACACACACACACACACACACACACACACACACACACACATATATACATACACACACACACACACACACATACACACGACACACGCACACGCACACACACACACACACACACACACACACACATATATATATATAAACAGTACAAGGCACACAGCTCACTTATCCAAAATGACTATCTAATGCAACCGAAATCTGACACTATATAATATGGAATCAGATATTGTGGTATGTATATACACACACGCACATATCACATATATTCATAATCCAAAGCTCACGGCTTACTTCTCCAAGATGACTATCTGATTGACCTGGTCGATCTGTCCCTTGATGCGTTCGTCCATGATCAGCGCCACCAACAGATCCTCCACTTCATCGGCTGTTGTGACAGATAAAACATGTCAGTGTACGCAAGTAACACGCGCGTGCTTGCGACCCATCAACTTGTATCTTAACTTTGCCGAAGCAGAAAACGTTCATGCACACGCGGTGCGGGTCCAGTGACACTCACGAGTTTGTTTTGTAGTGTGTCATGCACTCACGGGTATGCATCCCTGCCACCACATACAGCCCATCTAATACTAGTATCGCAACATACTTGGAATGTTGAGCTCCTTGGAGATGAAGGAGATGTGCAGTCGCGTGTACGGTTTGATGAGCAGCAGCACGTACTGTGTGCGAATGGCCAGTAGCAGGTCCTCCACATAGTCACGCATGAATGTGTCGCCCATGATCTGCTCGCCGTGTTCCTTGAGTGCCTGACTGAACGTATTGATATCGTTTTCTTGATACGCCTGCATGGATGGTCCGGATTGTCTATTCAGAAGATGCCATATACATGCCACCGCCTTCACTTTGTGTGGTGGTATAGACAATCGGGTGGTCATTTGCTGATGCTATCGTACAGCTCACAGCCTGCGCAGAACAGACGCCACGGCAGCGTGCATCGAAAGCTATTCACAGCCCACAGACACACGTGTGTATACAGTAGCATTGATTTGCGCGTTAGGTAAGTCATAGAAGTGGCGATCACGCGCATGTCTATAACACACGCACGTGGAGGGTCAATCCAGTAAATGTCTTCCTCACAGTCGATCCATCGCAGGCTTGCTTCCCCGCAGCAGCCCCATAGAGGCACGTGTGACAGCAGCATAGTATCCACGAACGTATTTTCGACAGAACCTCGTACTCCAACTAAACGGCACAAATACCAATGGCAAAACACTCACTGCTTCCCTTCCCAATTGTACATCGCTCCAATGTAATATGCATTGCTGATTCACGACGGTGTTTCTGATTCTATCGGCCATTTCAGTCGAATACCAAACAGCAAAAGAGATAGAGCGTCTCATGGAGTGCATGGCTATACGTATGCACAACATATCGTGTATCCTGATACTTCCTTGGTGTTTGGCTATCTTTGTTGATTCCAGGTGTATAGTACAAGTTTTTGACTTGTGTATACATCAACAGTGCCCCAACTATCAAAGAACATGCAAATATGCACCTCACGCTTGTACACTTACCTTCACTAAGGTTGTCATGGCAACAATCTCCGGGTCGCTTTTGTAGGGATTGGCCTCAGTACTGTCAAACGGATTGATGAATGTGTCACCCTTCTCAGTCATTAACATACTCGCCAACACCAGGTATTTGAGGCACTATAATTGCGAGTAACGATATATTGGTGAGTTTAAGTAACTTACGCATGTCGATGACCCACAGAACACCCGTACTTGAGCCCAACTATATGAATGCGCAATGTAGTGGTGAGACTTCCTATCCTCATCATCTGCGACAAAACTAAGCGCTAGGCTTTCCACACTGCGACCAGATGGGTTGACTAGTCTACAACAGGCACCGCCACGGATTTGGTGGGTGAAACAACCGCACGACCATCACACAGCTAACGACAGTGCAGCAGATACCTGAGCCTCACACTACCTACAGAATCTCCTCAAGCCCGCACAAAACTTACCAACCCAAACAGGCAACTACCAGCGCACACACACCTGAATGCGCCGAGGGCTGCCGGCTTCATCGTAGTTCTTGAACGCCTCAAAAAAATCGGCATACGCCTCAGCCAGGTTGCCATCGCCCATGTACATCTTACCACCACACTCTCTGCGAAGGGGCCAGGGATTGGAGCGTGAGACGACGGAGAGAGTAGTAGTGATGGAGTAGTCCAAAGACTTGTTGAGCACAAGACTCTTAGCTAGAGTGATTGTCATTTAGATAATGATTTGCCGTAGATCCCGGTACTAGTTTCTATCTATAGCGGTGCACGGGGTGGCTAGCGTAGGACATGGGCCAATCAGAATTCAAACCACAATATCCGCAATGACGTTACACTTGGTTTACAGCAATCTGCATAGGCACCTGAAATAACTGACCCATTGATTCTTCATACGATAGACTAAAACGTATAATAAACGTTTGGTTAAACTGTTGTTCTATTCTGTACCATCCTGTGCCATAGATGACAAACGCCTTATCAAGTGACACTATCTTGTACCATGAATACGTACCGGATGATTCCTAGATTCAAAGGGTGGGGAATGGCAGAGCTGTTGATGCGGGTTGCGCGCTGGTAGAGGGCGGTGAGTTTTTTTGTTTCTTTCTGTTCGGTGTACATCTGGATCTCGAGAGCGTATACCTCCAGTAGTTGTGTGCCTGCGATTGCCCAGACAACCGGATAAAAACGAATTATAGGCTTTGTGGCAGCTTCGTGGTTACTTTTAGTATGGTTTATATAGGCCGTATATACCGAATTCCACTACCATTGGATCGTGTATTATAGTATAATTGCGATCAAATTACTACCTGCCGAGAGTGAAATAGTACGGCAGCAACGGTCTTTGGTAAGTCACGACCAAGATACTGCAAAACCCCGTCCTCGTCCTGTCACGAGCAATACAGTGGTTTGCGTTGAATGTGTGCCAGCTATGTGTTTCACAAGACAATTATATGTACTACACATATGTGCTTCATAAGACATTTATATGTACTAGACATATGTGCTTCATAAGACATTTATATGTACTAGACATATGTGCTTCATAAGATATTTATATGTACTACACATACGTGCTTCATCAGACATTTATATGTACTACACATATGTGCTTCATAAGACATTTGTATGTACTACACATATGTGCTTTATAAGACATTTATATGTACTACACATATGTGCTTCAGAAGACATTTATATGTGATATACGTACGTGCTTCATAAGACATTTAATTGGTACTATACACATAGCTCGTACGCTGATGGTACCGATTGAAAGTGCCACGTGTCACACGCTCACCCTTGCGCGTGTCATCCGCCCCCTCCTCGTCCTGGCACGACAAGTACAAAGGTCTCGATATCAAATATATTATGTCCTGTGCCCATTGTGCGTGTCGTGGTTGACCTAAATGTACTATGTGCCGCATGTATACACCATGTAACACACACTCACCCTTGCGCGTGTCATCAGCCCCATCCTCATCCTGACACGACTGGTGCAGAGCTTTAAGTATCTTCTGCAAAGGCCCAAACTCGCGCCGATCGAAGTGCAAACGCCCCAGTTTCAGGTTGGTTTTGAACCAAAGCCTGTGTGTGTGTTGTATACAGTGTACCAAAAAGCACGCATTAGTCTGCCATCTATATATTGAGGCTGACCTTACACTCAACTTTAGTATACAAGTTTTCATGATGAAATTAAACCAAAGCTATGCAGGCAGGGTGCACCGAGTACACAGTAGGCTACGATATGTTGATGAAATTGACGATAGATTGAACTCAGAAGTTCAGGTACGCACCACAAGACATCGCACAAGTCCACTCAAACTAATGCAACATAAAATGCCGCATACAGGTGGTTAGTCGTTGTGAGTTCATCCTTGAAACCTTTTTCAGTATTGAGACCTAGGAAGACTATACTATCATGCTATATCCATCTAAGCATGATGTTTAATGAAAATGTGTGATGGTTAGCGAGTGCATACAGTGTGTGTCAATGCTCTACATACCTCCCTCAGTGAAACTACGGAACTTGTCACCTTGTGTAAGGCTTGTGGGCGTTTGTTTACATGCATGTATACGTACATCAAGGGCGAGTGATTGCTTTGAAAAGAGATATGCGGGTGACTTGTGTGAATTTGCATAGCACACACCCCTCCATACGCACCTGTCATTCTTGGTGTCTTCTAACACAGTCAGCGTGACGTGGTACACTTGACGCAGCACTTGGGCGTCGCTGGTATTCGACATGTACTCCAGGATGTTATTGATTCCTTTCTCCGATACGTTGCGGGTTACGGCACTCTTGACATAAGTGAGCAGCTGATTGTAGCGCTCCATGAATTCGTTCATTCTGTGAACATAACACGTGCACGTCATAGCTGAAGTAAGAATCTACAGTACTGCAGTATCGTCATTTTATTGTTAGACGTCTAGACTGCATTGTACAAGTACTGATACATCGTATCCCATATTTCTGCATTTGGCTGTATCTAGGTATAATCACTTCGGACGTATCGGGCAAGACACTGCCACATACAACGGAAATATCCTCACGATCAGCTGACCTTCACGAGTACGTATGATGACACATCCCACAGTGATCCCTTTCACAATTGTAGTCAATAACAGAATTGCACAGAAATGACTTTTTAAGACTATATTCCCACAGGAGACATTCTGCATTCGCATGCACGCGTTTACCGATTCAGCTTCAACAGCAGCTTCAGTATCTGTTTGAGGGCTTTGAAGCCCCACTCGCCTGGGCTGGAAGTCCGCACTTCGAGTTCCAAAACTTTCTCGAAGGCCTGTCAAGTATAGCGATGCACCGACCGCAGGGCGCGTGTTTGTACACGAGTTAATTCATGCAACGTGCGCATATATGCCCAGGATTGTTATGCGAGCAATTCAATTAACTCGACTTGCACAGTGCGCATATAAGATATGTGGATTTGTGCGAGACCCCCGAGCGTAGAGTTGAGTGGGTGTGGATGTGCTACTTTCAAGTGCACACGTGTCTGTGGTATTTTCCACGCTAATCTGAGCACCCTTTTGAGCCGGTCTGTTCACGGCCACCACGTATGGACGCGTACGAGAAGTATACACTCTCCTACCAATAACCGCGAAACACACACAGAAACAACGCCGCCAGTGAAAAGAAAATACAAACATTGTGTGCGTTGTACATACAAAATGAGAAACCACTCACAAGGACGACGCATACAACGTCACCAAACGCATATAACACACCAGCACACAGCCAAAAGGTTGCTGCCCAGTTGCAAATGGTTGGTGCAGCATTGTAAAACGGCAATGTGTACCTATAATAATTATTCAATCGAGTACAGCACATACCGCTATGCCCTCCTCTGGATTCTGTTTGAGCTCCTTGCCCTCGTGATACTGATTCGCCAACTCCACATCTGGCTCGTCTTCAGACCCTGTACACCGTTTGCATCGAGTCGATAGTCAGGTCGGTAAGTAAGGGATCAGAGTAGCACACGACTGACTTGTGAGCTATCTGATTGAACTACAGTCTTATACATTAAACGCCGATTGAACGGCAGTCTTATTCATTAAATCAAAGAGACAAACAGTATCATATAAATATAAATATAAATATATATATACATATATATATATATATATCTATATATATAATATATATATATATATACATACACACACACACACACATATATATATATATATATATATATATATATATATATATATACTATA